AGATCAAATAAATTGATATTTTGTTCTTCCCTTAGCAAGATGACAAAAATATTATAGTTTTTGCTTGTACTATTCATAACTTTAGCCAATTTCCCAGAAAGATATTTTTTCTCTTATTCATTAATATAGAAAATAATTCATATCAAGTACTTAAATAATTTTTTTTCCTTGGTACATTTAATATTGATATTTATCTTGGCTTGCATCTTTATTCAGTTGCTTAATTTTAATTTGATAGCCCGCATTTATTATGAATTTTTACGGCGACATATAAATCACATACCGCAAGGCACTAAAAATAAAAACCCAAATCCAAATAGAAATAAAAATAAAAGCCAACTCGAACAGAAACTCGAACTCTTTTCGCACTCGCTCGCGCTGAGCGTAAGCTATTATTTCGGCTCTCTTTCTCTCGCTCTCTCTATTGCGCTCTCTCGGGCAGCGCCGCTGCAGCGCCCAGCAGTGAATGCGCCTGCACGTATAACAGTTTTCGAAAAGACGACGAGACGAGGAGTACACGACGACAAAGCCGAACGCACGATGCCGATGATAACGGCGACCACGACGACGACGACGGCGACGCTGACGCCGTTGCTCTGCCCGGCAGGCAGGCAGGCAGGCAGACGAACGCCTGCTGAAAGTCGTCGGAGCGTTGCGGCCAAGCAGTCTCACAGCGTACGCCGTTAACGACAGACACAGCAGACACAGCGTGAGCCCCATAAGCACGCAGACGGACGGGGTGTTGGCGTCGTGCGTGGTGCAGTTCAGTTGCAATTTAACCGTAACAAAGCACAAATCCAAAACAGAGCAAACCAAAAAAAAAAAAAAGAAAGAAAATATAAAATAGAAAATCTAAAAGTAAACTACAGAAAGTGAGCGCAGTTTCAAATTTTTAAGGTGGTGCAAAAAATATAATAAAAAAAAGTAGCGCAAGACACGTGCTAACTGTTAAACGGGTAACGGTAAACGCGCATTTGCCGGGCAGCAGACAACGCAAAAGCCGTAAATTTCGTGTGGAGAGACTGGCGTGGGGAATGCATTTAGCACGTGAATTTCAAGCTCGCAAATTGAGCCAACAACGCGACAACAACAACAACAACAACAAGAGCAGCACCATCAGCACCACCACCAACAACAACAAGGAGAACGTCGACAACGACGACAAGATGAAACATGTGTAAATGCTAACGAGCGAGTAAATGGAAAGTGGGAAAGGCGCTTGACAAGTGTAACGAAATTTGATTGATTTTGATTGACATGGCACTCAGCAGCTGTGGCCACCCAGAAGTGAAATTCGAGTGAAAACCAAACACAAATTTAAAAGCGGGCAAACAGCAAAACAAAACAAGAAACCGAAGAAGAAAAAAAACTCAAAACTGAGAAAAACTTCAATTCAACAAGGGGGAAATACCCATGGAAAATGATATAGTATATATTTACAGTAATAAGTGCGAACGACAGAAACCAATAAAAGTACAGCGCTCGCATAAAGTAAGATTGCAATAAAATATATATATATATATACAGTTACTCTCTCTCTCTATATATGTATATGTGTGTGTGTGAAGCTGGGCGCCGGCTAATCAAGTGCTGCGGCGCACAATAAAATCGTCGAGCTAAGCAACTTTTTTCTTGTGTTTTTTCCCTTTTGCTGTGGCGGCTGTCGTTCACTTTTTTCATTGCCTGCCATCATTTTCCGCATATCTACATGTGTGTGCGTGCGTGTGTGCATGTGTGTGTGTGTCAATGTGCGTGTGTGTGCGTAAGTCTGTCATATAAAAAGGATAAAATATTTGCGCATTGATTTTCGACCAACGCAACTGTGACAGCAACAAAGTGGATCAACAACAACAACAACAACAACGACAACAACAACAACAAGTTTTGGACAACCATTTTACTAGGGGTACGTTATATCTAATTTCTGCTGAACATTAATACTAATAGTCCCAGCTGTCTATCTATCGCTGTCTCCCCCTCTCCCGCTCTCACTCTCCATCTGTCTATCCTTCTCTTGCTGTGTGTGTGTGCATAAAAGTGAACAATATTGCGAGAGTTTGGAACTTTTTGTGCACCAGCTCTAGGATAATGTCACGAATTCGTTCCCAATCTACAGCTGTACAGTTATACAGATATACATACATATATTTGTGTATAGCTTTGTGTATTTGCATTTGTCTAATTATGTCAACTGGCATTGACTATTTGCCTTTGGCTTTATTGAAAACATATTTCCAGTTTATTCAACTTTGAACTGTTTGCGAAAAGTTTGGCAATAGGAAAACAAGTTTCGATGGCAATAAATGCTGGTCTGAGCAGCTGCTTATATACGTGGCCAATGAAATGGGAAGACTGCTTTATCTGGTCAATATACAAATATATATACATATATCTCTGTCTTACATGTTCTTAGATCAACTTTTCAAGTCATAGATTTCGTATTCATCTAATATATAAATATATTCAAATAATCAGTTTATATGTTTATATAATTAGTCTATATAGCAATTGTATATTTTGTATAAAGAACCTCCCATACGAATTTACTTACTCATTGAGGATTGATATAAAATGGGTTTATTAATCGGTTGTAAAGACATTTAGCAATATTTATCAAGTTGATATACTCATCTATTGAGAATATTTTTCTATTACAATTATAAATTAGATATTGTTTCATTCAAAGCTACGCATATGGTATTTAAGGCCAGTTAGTTGTTCAACTTTCAATTAAAGAATCTTAAGCTTGTTTAGATTTTCTGGTATATACATTTTGTTATGATAATTCAAATTGCAATTCTTTCGTGGTATAAAAAAATTTGTTGAAACGGAAGAGGAGCAAAATACTGAATATAATTAAGAATTAGTCTATAATATCAAATTCAAGAATCCACCCAAATAAAATACTTTTTTGGACTTATTCACAAAAATTTAGACTGAAAACCATTTGACTTGAATGATTTGATCTATAAGTTTATAAAGATAATATACATTAAATTTGCATACCGCTAAACTTAAACTTATAATAATTATTCCTTAAAATATTTAGCGCATCTAAATATATACTTATTTAATAATCCACACAAATTAAAATTAATATCCGATTTCCCCAAAGTGTTTAACTAATTCAAATATTGTTTATTTAATAATGAAGCTTTAACTCCACACAAATGGTTTAGCCTCGACCTTTTCACATTTGCATATTCAATTAAAGTTTATTTTTGGCCAGGGCCATTCACATTTAATTGGGCGATTAATTAAGTTGCATATAAACGTATTTTTAGCGCTTATCTCTAATTGATAGTTTTTTGTTGTTGTTTGCAAATAATTCTACCGGGACGGGTAACAAAACCTATATATTCGAGTGTATTTGCGACCTTTTCCCCAGCTGAATGAAAATTTTCGGGCTCCTTTTCATGCGCAGTCCGACAAATTAAAATTCACCGCCCCCAGTCCAATAAAAAGGCAAACAAAACCCTTTTCATAGCAATTTTAATTAACAACAGGCCAAACATACATTTAAAAAAAATAACAACAAAAGGAAAAAAGTGCTGCAAATAAGTTTTAAATATTTGTGCTGCGGCTCGGCAAATTTTCGAAGAAGGTGAAGAAGGAGCCAAACCACAACAAAAGCAAGACGCGGGGGGTTTTACCTGGCGGCCCGCGGCGGTGCTTTCGCCACCTGTAAATATTTGGTAATGCCCACGAAAAACTTATACGCCTAACAAGAAAAGCGGCTGCCTGGCTTTCCCGGGGCATTGGCTTTTTGGGCATCAGCCTCAGTCTCCGCCGACTCAGCCTCCGACTCAGCAAAGGCATCAACAACGGCATTGGCTGGCGTGCAAATGAGAAAATTCATTATTTAACATTAATTAAGGCTTATTATGCACATTATCAACACACAGCGCAGCCAACACACACACACAGACACAGAAACTGACACACCCACACCCACACAGACACAGACACAGACAGGCCGCATTAAATGTCAGCGTGAGACAGCCGCAGACACCTACATAGTGAAAATGCGAGGGTGGACAACTATCACCCATGAAAATTCTGGCTAAAAAGGAAACGTTCATAATTCAGCGGGGGGCGGAGAAGAGAGGTGAAACGCAAACAGGAAGTGTAATAGCAACAACAATAATGCCAGCAGCAGGAGCAGCAGCAGGAGAACCAAGACAGCCTATTTAAATTATTCAGTAAATTGTTAAGTAAATAACATGAGAGAGGCACGTTAAAAAGGCAACACAAACAACAACAACAATAACAAAGCCAAAATAGCTTCGCATCCTTGTCTATGGAGCAGACATTTAGTTCCCATATGAAAACACACGTTGCTGATGATGGGTGTTGATGATGATGATGATGAAGATGATAATGATGATACTAATGCTGATGATAATGATGTTGCCGCCATACGCCTGTTCACAGCTCACTGGGCGCTGCTCTTAAATGTACTTGGTACAATAAAATCAACACAAAGAGTGCCTAAAAGACACTGTGAAAGCCAGCCCCAAGGTGTGCGTGGCTGTCTGTGTGTGTGTGTGAGTGTGTGAGTGTGTGTGGGTGCGTGTGAGTGAGTAAGCGAGCAGCTGCGTCCACATAGTCAAAATGCTGCCAGTTATCGTTACAGCGAAAACTCTGCATATTTATGTAGAAAACTATGCCTTGGCCAAAGAGAGCAGAAGAGCAGGGAGTAGAGCGCATAGAGCAGGGAGCAGAGAGCAGGGAACAGTCAAGAGCCGGCAGACAGCTCAGTTATGTAAGCCAGAAGCAAACATTTTGCAATGCTAAGTGTACATCAATAGTAAGCGAATCTGAATTGAAGCATTGCGGTATGGATATGCTGTAAGCAATACTACACTGCCCAAAAATGTGCCTTACAAAAGCTGAAAAAGTTTTTTTTTCCTTTATGAGACTATTTACTTTATAAATTTGGGTTTCATTTCGAGGTTTTAATGAGTTTGAGAAATGCTTTTTTTGCTGGAAGCTTTTAAACAATTTTTAAATCAATTAGTTATTTAATAAGAATTAAATGAAATATAGTTCAAGTATATTGTTAATATTAGGCTTTAATAAAATTAGTCTTAGACAATAAAGTGCAAAACTAAAAAATAAAAATAAATATAAAAATTAATATATGATATTTAACAAATATATATATAATAAAAATAAAAATAATATAATAAAAATAATAATAAAATATATGTATATAATACAAATATATAAAATATTATAATAATCATGAGTTAATAAATTCATCTTATTTATTCTTAATTTTTATCAACTTAACATTAACATTAACATTAACATTTTTTTCCTGCACTCCATTTAAATGCATAATCATATGACATAAAAAATAATTCAAATAAAATAAATATAACAGATTTCAAATACTTTGGCTAATACATAAATTGGATTGTTATTATTACATTCCGATGGTTTCATGTAGATAGTTCCACTACAAGAGGATTTATTCCACAGCTGAATTCCCATAGAAGAGCTCAAATTGCAGCCGATGTCGATAGTCGTATGCGAGCATGCGGTTGCATGCGTATTTATGTGTGTATGCATACACATGTTGGTTGGTTATGCATGCAGAAAGGAAGCGTAGAATGAATGGAATACCAGCTCTAATCGAGCAGTCACGACTAAAGCTCTCTTACTTGTTTATTATTTAAAAATTATTAATTATTATAATAGTATACTATGATTTTATTTTTTCTTATTATTTTTGTATTATTATTCATTTACTTTTTATTATTTTATTACTTTACTCATATTTATTGATTTGTTGTCATTCAATTTTGTCAACTGTATTTAAATGCTCTGAGCATCTATTGAGACATGCCAAGGCTTCTGAATATTCTTTCACTCCCTTTCATTCAACATAAATTTTCACAACTAAAGCCCAACATGAAACGACCTGCATACATTTCGCTCAAAACAAAACTTTTTATTTACTCAATAAACTCAAATATTTTGATAACAAAATAGCAGAAAATATTTGTCGTCCTTCTTGTTTTTTGTCCTTGTTTTGTTTACCAACATTTGTTGAGAGTTTCCGGGGCTGTTGAATTCCCGCATGGTATCAAATCACACAAATAAAAATAAACAAAAGTGAAACTATTATTTAAAGCATAAATTGGGTTGAAAAAGCACATGGAAGTGCGCAGGCTAAAATAAAACATAGAAATCTACATATACATACATATATGAGAGAATAAAAATTCGGTTTATTCACAAATGCCGATGAAGATTAAGAGCAAAAGTATTATTAAATGCAATATTTATATCATTTGAAATTATGTTTGAGGCAGAAAAAATGATGAAAATTTATGGCTTCAATTGAAACGTTTTAAGGGCATGAAAATGTTGAATATATACATATGAGGGATTCCAGCTTTAGAGAACATGTCTGCCATGTGAAGGGAGGTCTGAGGCAAATTCCTATAAACTGTAGTTGCGTATGGATATTTGTATGGTGTAGTAGGCCAATAAGAGATTAGAGAGAATAGCAGGTTAACTATCAATATATATAAAAGCTATCGATTCTCAGCCTCATCGATGGCAATGAGCCAGAAAAGCTTTACTAAAGAAAGAAGAAGAACGACAGCGCAGTAGTTTAAGCAGAAAGCGAAAAAAGATCAGAAGTAGAGCTGCGTAAATAATATATTTATAACTAAATAAATTCTGCTACAATGTGTTATCATTTGAAAGAGCCTTTATAAATGCTGTTCCTCAGTATAAATTGAATAATAATTCCTGTTTTATTTTTTGCAAGGCAATTGAAATATTTGAATGAACTTCAAAGCTGTTAAAAACCAGTTTTAAAAGGTTTCCTTTCTTAGTTCGCTGTATTCAAAAAATATAATTAATTCCAGGAACTGCATGCTTTCTTAG